AGGAACAAATATATTATGACAGCTTTTCTTGCTTCCCCCTGCCTCTTTGTCTTTGAGGAATTAAAGGTAAAGGTAAAGGTTCCCCTCGCACATATGGGCTAGTCGTTCCTGACTCTAGGGGGCGGTGCTCATCTCCATCTCAAAGCCGAAGAGCCAGCGCTGTCTGAAGACGTGTCCGTGGTCATGTGGCTGGCATGACTAAATGCCAAAGGTGCACAGAATACTGTTATCTTCCCACCAAGTTATTTTTCTACTTCCATTTTTACATACTTTTGAACTGCTAGGTTGGCAGAAGCTGGGACAAGTAACAGGAGCTCACCCAGTTATGCAGAGCTAGGGATTCAAACCGTCAAACTGCTGACCTTTCTTATCGACAAGCTCAGCGTCTTAGCCACTGAGCCACCATTTCCATTTTTGAGGAATTATGATTCCCAAATATAAGAAACTCCAGGTTTTTCTGGACAAGCAATGCTTCTAATTGATAAAAAAATTCATATTCAAACATCTGTGGGAAGCATACGAACAGCACTTTTAACAGTTACTTTAATCTAACAGAATGTTTTCAATTTACCAAGAAACATGGAGACAAAAATGCCATCTACAAATAAATCTCTTAATTTGTTGAGATTTTGCATCCTATCAAATATCAAGTAACATAGAATGTAGTTTATTGAATATTTATTGAGATACAGAATGCTATTGTCTATGTTAATTTTCAAATACTGCAAATACAAAATTTGATGGTAGTTATCAAAAATTTGATCTTTTGATAGAGAGCATCCATTAGGAAGGGTCAGTATATATACTCCAGCACATGTGTTTGTTGAAGTGTGTGAGACATTGGTAGTTTGGACTTAGTTCTTTGCTTAGCCATCTCCTTCGATATAAAGCAGTGGTTCCTAAACTGGGGGTAATTTAGGCATAATCTGGAAGGTAATAAAGGACATGGTGGCTCAGTGGTTAAGACACTAAGTTTTAGTCCATTAAAGAGCCATAGCTCAGCCTTTCAAGACCTGAGTACAGCAAGACACAGTGATTTCCCATCATTTGTCCCAGATCCTGCCAACTTAGCAAATTGAAAGCATGTAAATGCAAGTAGATGGATAGGTACCACATCCAAGCATGTGGCAAGATAAGAGTGTATCGTATTTCACCATACACTCTATCAGTGGTGGGATTCAGCCAATTTGTACCACTTCGGGAGAACCAGTTGTTAAATAATTTGAATCCCACCACTGCACTCTATGCTGCGGTGTGATGTCATGCTAGCCACATGTCACAGCAATGTCGCCAAACAGCAGTGGCTCTTTGGCTTAAGAAACAGAGATGAACACTGCGTCCTAAAGTTGGTCATTACTAGCAAAGTAAAGCTCCCTACAACATCTAGGAGAGTAATGGGGGAATATATAATTGCTTGTTTGTGAGTCAAAGATCCAATTTGGGGCCACTGCTGCAAGCTACTTGTAAAACAACACAATCTGGTTTTGTTTTGTTTTGTGTTTTGTTTTGCTTTGCTTTGTTTTTGTGAAGATAATGGCTTTACTGGAGACTGGGAAAAGGGATAATATGGTCACTGGTGTAAAATTTGAATTATGCTGACCTATCTTTTTCACTTGGAGCTCATATTGAGATATCATGCTGGAACCCCAATATTTTTAATACCTGTCCCACCACTCACCACAGGTACCTCTCCATATTGAGGGTTGAAATGGAAGATTGGTCTTTTCCTATCAACACCATTACCTGATGTCCAGCGTCTTTCAGTAATTTGGCAGCAGTGAGTCCACTTATTCCTGCCCCAACAATCACAATTCTTTTTGGGTTTGAAGTCTTTTCCAGCCCATTTCTGGCAATATTTAACAGCTCCTCATAGTTAGGGTCCTCAAAACATTTCATCCAGTCATCTTCCTCTTCATTGGCATGGTTTACAGATGCCCAGATGGCCAGGAGAAGTGGTACGAGTGACAAAATTGCTAGGGGAAAAAAACGCCAAGCTTTGATTGAAAGGAAGGGAGACAGCAAATGAAAATATGTTTTGGCCAGCTTTCCTGAGTCAGGTATTTAATTCTGGATCTTTTCTGGAGAAATCTTCATTCAAGAAAGTAACCATTTGGTGTTAGCTCAACAGTTGAGACAGCTGGTTAGTTGGATGGATGTGTAGCATCAGCAACTACATTTCAAGTAGCTTAAAGGACTAGTTAACAAAATGGCTAAAGAAGAACATCAAAATAGTAATAGCACTTAGACATATATACTGCTTCACAGTGCTTTTGCAGCCTTCTCCAAGCGGTTTATAGAGTCAGCCTATTGCCCCCAACAATCTGGGTCCTCAATTTACCCATCTCGGAAGGATGGAAAGCTGAGTCAACATTGAGCCTGGTGGGATTCGAGCTGCCAAATTGCAGGCAGCAGTCAGATGAAGTAGCCTGCAGTACTGCACTCTAACCACTGTGCCACCTCCTTTTTACACACTCATAATTACTAATAGCTGAATGAACAACGACCTCACTTGTGACAATTTCAATCTATGAATTTATGCAAAAACATATGTGGTAATCATCTATGAGCATTCTTTTTCCCCCTTATCTGTATAACCATTCTATCATCCTACTACATGAAGATGAAAGGAATCTTGATTAGGAGGGATGTAGAAAAATCCACTTACAAACATCAGAATCATGAAAGCTGTGATATTCCCTACTATGGCATTCTATGGAAGTTAAAACTGGACTTTAAAGAAGCAGGATAGGAAGAGATTATTGGTGCCTTTGAACTTTGGTGTTGGACAAGACTCCTGAGAGTAGCATGGACAACCTGGAAAACAACCAATGGCTCATCAAACAAATCAACACAGAATCCAATTACCCTGCTTCAGAGAAATGATGCAAAGACATCACTTTCTGGAGAAGGCTTGGATGCTGGGAAAGGTGGAAGAAAAGAGAAGAAAAAGACAACCAGCCAAAAGATGGACACAGTTATAGTGGGGGTGACTGCACCACTGGGAGTCTTGAAAGACCAAGTTAGGCATGATTAGGTTAGATATTCAGGGAGAATATCTGTGTGGTCACTAGGAATTGAAAATGACTTGATGGTAGTCATAATCAATCAATCAATCAATCAATCGACAGCTTAATTAACTACCATCTTGCCTTTGAATGCAATATTTCATTTTGTTTTTTTTCCTGAAATTCATCATAGTGGGGTATTAGTTTGGACCATGAACCTGGAATGAGGGGTAAGGTGGCTTTAACCCTTTACTTCTTACTATAGAAAGAATAAAGAGGCAGTTTGATGTAGTGGTTAAGACATCTATCTCTTCCAACTTATTACTGTAATGATGTTTTTGTATCTTTCAATTTATATTGTTTTTATTAGTTTCCTAATACAATTTCATAGCTTATTAGTAACCTTGACTAACACTAAGTGTTGTATCTTTTTATTCTTGAGGAATTTATTTTATTCTCTTTATATACACTGAGAGCATATACACCAAAGACAAATTCCTTGTGTGTCCAATCACACTTGGCCAATGAAGAGGTCTATTCTATTCTATTAGGCTAGACACGGGAAGTCTGAGTTTTAGTCTTGCTTTGGTCACAAAGACAGCTGGCCCAGCCACTTTCTCTCAGCCCTAGGATGGATGCAATGGCAAACTACTTCTGAAAAACCTTGCCAAGAAAACTGCAGTGTCTTAGTTAGGAAGTCTTCAAGAATGGTACATGACTGAACATAAGGGAGGGGGGAAAAACAGAAAGGCAGCGATATTTGGGCAGCTACAATGTAGAGGACCAATAGAGGGCAGCAAATGAATATACATCTTTATTGCCATTTAATGAGCCTCTGGATTTTTACAGTTCTAATATGCTAACCTATGCTATGGAGAGAGGAACAAGCTGTCGTTTTCAAGAGCAGCAAACTTTGGTAATTAAGGTGTTATGTTAGGACTTTTGCCCTACAACCATACAAGGTGACTTTGGGTCAATCATTCTCTACCAACCTCACAGAATGGCACAGATATAATAGCAATAGCCCTTAGACTTGCCATGTTTCCCAGAAAATAAGACGGGGTCTTATTTTCTTTTGACACCCAAAATAAGCGCTTGGACTTATTTTCGGGGAGGTCTTATTATTTTTGAGCTGCAGGAGCCGGTGAGCGTGGTCACCTCAAGGCTGCTGCTGTGTTGCAATATTTTCAAGGAGGGTTTATTTTCAAGGGAGGGCTTATTTTAGGGCATGCACTCAAAAGCCCAATTGGGCTTATTATCCAGGGAGGTCTTATTTTCAGGGAAACAGGGTATATACCGCTTCACAGTGCTTTACAGCCCTCTCTAAGTGGCTTACAGAATCAGTCTGTTACCCCTAACAATCTGGGTCCTCATTTTACCCACTTCAGAATAATGAAGGGAGATTTTGATGGAAAATCCCTGGAGCTTTTGGAGGAAAGGCGGACTAGCAGGCTAAACGTTTTAAAATGCTTCACTTAATCCAGTGTGATTTTTCCCCCCCTCATGCATGTTGCTGAATTAGAGAAATCGAATCGTATTTGGAGGGGGATGTTGGGGAAGAAGTGAAGGACTTAGTAATACACTATTCCCCAGTTCTGTCCGTGGGGGGAAAAATGTGTCAAGGGGAAGAACGTAGAAATGAATTTTATGAATTATGGCAAACCCAGTTAATCAAGTCTTTTTGTCGAGTCATGGGCATTAAATACAGCCAATTCCCCACCCACCCCCCAAAAAACAGACTTTTCAGCTATGTTTTGGACAAATTATTTTTTTACTAGGAAATTAACAAATAGAAGTGACTCGTGGTAACCTTTAACTTTGGATTCCAAAAAAAGGAGAAGTTTTGGAGCATGTCAAGATACGCTGATAGCTCTGTCAGCAGTTCTTTAACCCAAACAATTTAAGGTATTTAATGTTGATATTCTCCAGGTTTTCAAGAAGGGACTAGACATCCACTTGTCTAGAATGATATGGTGTTTCCTGCTTGATCTGAGGGTTGAACTAGAAGGCCTCCAAGACCAAGATCCCTTCCAGTCCTATTATTCTATATTCTATTATTAGTGCAGAAGGTAACCGCATGATCCAGAACCCTACCTAAGTAGCTGCTGACAGAAGCACTGCAAAGGAAACTTCTTCCTTTTGATTCCAAAGGAAATTCATCATATGCAAGGCTAAAATTATTATTCAGGTTAAAAGGCTCATCATTATACCCCAAAGTACATAAGGCTTCTAAAACAATGTCTATGCAGAAAATGAAATACTTACAGGACTTGGCCATGTTCGATGAGGAGGGTAAGGATGCAAATCTGTGCTCTTATTTATACTCAGCAGGTGCCTGGTTGAGGGGAATGGATCCAACTCCCTGCAGCCAGGTGGGCGTGACTCAGTGGGGGTGGCCATTTGGGTGTCACCAGGTGGGCATGGCCAGGTCAATGTGAAGGATCAAGTGCAGCCGGCTCAACGCGGATGACTCGGGGTGGCTGGGTGAGCGTGGCCAGGTGGATGCCACCAGATGGGTGTGGCCAAGTGATGGGCACCAGTTGGCCGTGGCCAGGTGGGTGCAGAACAAGTACTCCAGAAAACTGGACATGGAGCCAACTTGGCACTGTGCCAGAACAAAATCACCTGCAGACATGCTGGCAAACAGGGAGCAGGTAAGCTGGCAAAATTTGAAAGCCAAAGAGTGGATTTCCCCACTCTGGACAAATACTCCTTTTTTCTTTCTGTTTCCCAGGAAAGGTTTCTCTGCTAAGTTTCACAAGGAAGGGAGGAAGTGGGTGGATTCCCTCCCCTCTTTGAATAAATGCTCCTTTTTTCCTTTCTGCTTTCCAAGAGAGGTTTCTCTGCTAAGTTTCACAAGGAAGGGAGGGGCAGGGTATAGATTCTGCCAAAACTTAGCAGAGAAAGCTCTCCTAGGAAGCCGAAAGGGGAAAAAAAAGGAGTGTTTCTCTGTTGGAATGTCTGGATTCAGTTCCAAGTTGGGGAAAAAGACACTGGAAACATGGAGGCTGCTTGAAAAGATGGTTTAATGGTGGACAGGGCCACATGGCTTGAGTTCCTGAACAGAAAAAGGAATCACATGATTCAAGATGTTGGGTGAAGGAAGGGCTGAGATGCTGAAAGTCCCTGGTTTTATGCCCTCTCTGGGCTTTGAACCTGAGCTTGTATTCTGATTGGTTGTCAGACTCCCATGCATCTCTGTAGGCTGTGTTTTGAGTCCACGTTTGGTTGAGCATTGCTTCTTCCCAGGTGTCCTGTGGTGAGATGAGTAAAGGGCTAATGCTATCATGCCTTAATCCCATCACCCTGGAGCTGAGGGGGATCTTTGTTATGTAGAATAAATTGGCTCAGGCCTTTTAATGACAAAAGTAGGGGCTATTAAGAGTTAGTCTGTTTCCTGCATAAAAACATGTTTCCCCATTTCTGATCCAGGGAAATATAATATTCTGCCTTTTCAATATTTCCCAGGATGTTTCATTTTTCTAGGAGAGCGATGGGTGCTAACTTCCTACATCTTCAAATGGAGGAATCCAGCCAGTGGTGGGATTCAAATAATTTAACAACCAGTTATCTGCCCTAATGACCAGCTGGGCAGGCATGTCTGAGTAGGCATCAGAGATTTGTTGCTACCGGTTCGCACCATTGCAGGCCAACCTGCAGTGGAAATTAGGACTGGGTTGCTGAACTGGTAGGGACAGTAGACTGGCCCAGCCTACGAATCGGTTCCCCAGTCGCCCATGCCATTGCCGGCATGTTTTTAGGCATTTTATAATGTTCTGCACATGCACAGAACAATTTACAGGCAACTGTGCATGCACAAGCAACGCATGGCAGGTGCACACGCGAGCCAACCGGCAGCAATGCGTGCAAAGTGAACCAACAGTAACACCAGCAGCAGCCACCTCTGATGGGCAGGTGACTGGATGGGTATGGTCAACTCTATGTCATTCATGTCAGGGTGCACCTCG